GAGCTTCGAACATGCACGCGGGAGAGGTTTGGCAACATGAGGCGGGGCATTCACCCGGGATCTGCACGGTGGCTGATTGGTATAGCCGTGTTTTATCCCGGGCACTGAATGCGTCACGGGCGTGGACTGCTTCCCACATGGGTTTGTGAGATCCACCCTCGTCCGTGACATATTGCCAAAACTCCCATCACAGAACCTCCATCAACTGCGAACGGCATGACGTGAGTGAAGGTCTCCCAAGAGAGCAAGTTCACGGATAGCCGAAAGACAGATGACGGAATTTCAAGAGAAAAGCAAGACGTCAAGTCGTTGCTAAAGCAGTGATCCAGTCTGATCACCTTCGGAACATACACCCAAGAACAGAGAAAGTTCCCCCAGAGTGCTTGAGAATTCCTGTTGGAAACCCTCAAGCACTCTTAGTTAGGCATCAGACGAGCTATCTTGGGTGTGACGGTGTTTAGTTTTTTTTTCTATCTGAGATGGGGGGCATTCACCCGGGATCTGCACGGTGGCTGATTGGTATAGCCGTGTTTTATCCCGGGCACTGAATGCGTCACGGACGTGGACTGCTTCCCACATGGGTTTGTGAGATCCACCCTCGTCCGTGACATATTGCCAAAACTCCCATCACAGAACCTCCATCAACTGCGAACGGCATGACGTGATTGAAATCGCGATTTTCTGCGTGTAAGGCAGACGTCATAACCACTAGACCATCCCGGCGATGGAATTGTTGAATCAAGCTCAATCCAGCAAGTGAGTCATATATTGACTGTTCAGATCCAGCATGTCATATGCGTAGGAGTAAGCTATACCAGGAGCGAGGATTGAACTCGCGATCTTCTGCGTGTAAGGCAGACGTCATAACCACTAGACCATCCCGGCGATGGAACCGTTGAACCAAGCTCAATCCAGCAAGTGAGTCAAATATTGACTGTTCAGATCCAGCATGTCATATGCGTAGGAGTAAGCTATACCAGGAGCGAGGATTGAACTCACGATCTTCTGCGTGTAAGGCAGACGTCATAACCACTAGACCATCCCGGCGACGGAACCGTTGAACCAAGCTCAATCCAGCAAGTGAGTCATATATTGACTGTTCAGATCCGGCATGTCATATGCGTAGGAGTAAGCTATACCAGGAGCGAGGATTGAACTCGCGATCTTCTGCGTGTAAGGCAGACGTCATAACCACTAGACCATCCTGGCGACGGAACCGCTAAACCAAGCTCAATCCAGCAAGTGAGTCATATATTGACTGTTCAGATCCGGCATGTCATATGCGTAGGAGTAAGCTATACCAGGAGCGAGGATTGAACTCGCGATCTTCTGCGTGTAAGGCAGACGTCATAACCACTAGACCATCCCGCCGACGGAACCGGTGAACCAAGCTCAATCCAGCAAGTGAGTCATATATTGACTGTTCACATCCGGCATGTCATATGCGTAGGAGTAAGCAATACCAGGAGCGAGGATTGAACTCGCGATCTTCTGCGTGTAAGGCAGACGTCATAACCACTAGACTATCCCGGCGACAGGAACCGCTGAACCAAGCTCAATCCAGCAAGTGAGTCATATATTGACTGTTCAGATCCGGCATGTCATATGCGTAGGAGTAAGCTATACCAGGAGCGAGGATTGAACTCGCGATCTTCTGTGTGTAAGGCAGACGTCATAACCACTAGACCACCCCGGCGACGGAACCGCTGAACCAAGCTCAATCCAGCAAGTGAGTCATATATTGACTGTTCAGATCCGGCATGTCATATGCGTAGGAGTAAGCTATACCAGGAGCGAGGATTGAACTCGCGATCTTCTGCGTGTAAGGCAGACGTCATAACCACTAGACCATCCCGGCGACGGAACCGTTGAACCAAGCTCAATCCAGCAAGTGAGTCATATATTGACTGTTCAGATCCGGCATGTCATATGCGTAGGAGTAAGCTATACCAGGAGCGAGGATTGAACTCGCGATCTTCTGCGTGTAAGGCAGACGTCATAACCACTAGACCATCCCGGCGACGGAACCGCTGAACCAAGCTCAATCCAGCAAGTGAGTCATATATTGACTGTTCAGATCCGGCATGTCATATGCGTAGGAGTAAGCTATACCAGGAGCGAGGATTGAACTCGCGACCTTCTCCGTGTAAGGCAGAACCCGTTGAATCAAGCTGAGCAGCTGAGTCACATCAGTCACGAACACGACTATGTGATGCTCGAAACTTTCTTGTATTATCAGCTCACCATGTGCCTTTAATATCGTTGAGCTCAAAATCACTCGATTTTACTATGAGTTGCCTCTTCCGTGGTCCGATCAAGTTCCCTTGCTATGCTCTCGATTAGCGACCTCTTCCGCAAAAGCGTCTATGATTCCTTCTATCAGGCTGCGTTGAAGGGCCTCCCAAATAGGAAGCAGTAAGAACGTCCTGAATCACATATCTTAGACTCCAAGACTTGGAGTTTCCCCAATAGTTGCTCAATTATGGAGACTCTATGTCTGCGGGCGAGATCACTTGCAGTCGCTTTTGGCTTACTTAGCCTTAAAGTAGACATTCACTGTGACCTTAGTCAGTCTGCCCCGTCGTTCGAAGCCCCAGTCATATACAAGGCATTCACAATAGCTGAAAGGTTCGGATGCAGCGACCTGTGCACACACCGAGTCGAGGAATCAGTGATATTGGGAATAAAACTCACAATGGCAGCAGTTTTGTCATCGGGTGGCTTCAACGTGACATTGTACCTAAAAGGTAACCCGATTCCTCGCCTACGGACTCGGTATCAGAAACACGGACAATTGCGAGAGACTCAATCCATCTGAAACGCACTTCGTGGGCGGCAACAATAGGGGGCACGGGGGCACAGATTTAACGCATGCAAACACGATGAACGATGACCATATAGATAGAGAGTGCATGGTATACACTGCGTACCCCACGGCTACTCAAACGATCAGGAACACGGAACCTTACTTACGTCACGACATCGCTTATCGTCGGACCACCATGTTTAATTCCAAAGCCGACATCACACTGGAAAGCACGAGCAGTAGCCTTAGCGTCCGACTTCACCCTAGCCTTGAGAATGATATGCTTGATGTAAGCATGAATAGGGCACTTACTGAGGTGCACCATGGCATCCAGGTTGGATATCGATCGAAATCGGCGATGATGTCATAACAGGTTTCAATGGATGCCGGGGCCAGTCCTGCAAACCACGGCAGGGTTCGTGGGAACCAGGCTGGTCACGTGACTAGCAGCTTCTGGCTACCTTTGACCTCTAGGCACCGTGCTACATGGGGATGCTCTGCGGCTCTCAAAGCGAACTTTCCTTTACCTGAGAAGCTCGGTATCGTCGGATCCAGAGCCGCTTTCTAATAAACTCTATCCCATACTGTTTACCATATTCCACCTTCTTGAGATCATCCTCTTGGAAACTGCCACCACTAGTTGGAAGCTCGGACGATGCTTGCTGTGTTCGATTGGCCAAAACCTGCCATACCATCTTCATTGGTCTACCATGGGTATTCAGAGCGAGCTTATTTGGCGCTAACCTTGCCAATCATCTCATGTTCATTCTGCAGCTCATAGAGGCGTTCCTGGAGCTCTTTCGTCGGCACTTGAGCGAGAGACTTGTAATAGTCACTGAAATCAAGTTGCTATACATGTCCAGAATTTCGGTCTACCCTTCCAGTTCGGCCTGAAAGCTCCATAGCGATGAATCTTTCATATTCACGAGCTTTAATGAGAATGCTGTTCCGAGTAGAGCGAGGTCCACTCTGATCGGTTGGTCACTCTAGCAAATTCGTTTGATGCACACTGTTCACCTGCCTAGTAGTTCTTCCACTACCCGCAGCATGAGCCGTAATACATTGCGATAGATGGCTGACTCTAAAAGACGGCGATTTCCCGAATACTTCACTCAATAACAGGTTCTCTCGCTTCCAGCTCTCACCCAAGGCTACGAGCTCACAATTCCAACCGATGAAACTGTGCGTCTACTCAACTATGGATATGCATTGCGCTCAGTAAACACACCTATGCGAATTGATAAGAAAACCGAATGGTGATTGAAACTTGGAGTTGAATGCCGTTTAAGTCCATCATGAAATCCACTTCAGTGAACTCTGAGCGCGATGCCCCTACCGATGATGTCAGGATCCAGAATACGTTTATGCTCGAATCTGAGAGCAGCTCCTTGACGAGGCGATCAATAACCTCCTCGTTGAGCTTGATATGCGAAGGGGCCTTCTGGCAGTAGACTTCTGCAATGTCCAATGGAACTGCAAGCAGGATTCACTCCGACGTGTCGAAGTTACCAACGACAGTCGTTCCATAAACGGATAGTGGCACTTGCTGACTCACTCAGTTTCCATTCCAAACGGTGTCCCATGACCGACACGTGCAACGAGTTGGAGAGGTCCTCCAGAATCCTGATCAACGATCGCGAGAGGTACTACACCAGCTATAGATTGTACGATGGGCTACCGAAATATAAGAATGACAGTGTTGAGATAAAGACTCCGCTCAACTGCATCTGGTATGAGTGGGTTGTTCACAAACTCATCACGGAGCATCGAATCAACTGAACGGCCACGAGTGATCGAGTATTAATGTGACGTACATACTTACCTATAACGCTGAGCTGCTCTCTTCCATGTAACGAAGTGCCACTTAACTTCAAATTGATGAATACCTCCGATTCTTGAACTGAGCGCACCTGACAGGTTTGGATCGCAGCGGTGTGGTGGAGACAACGTACCTTAATTGCATGGCCCCACAGCTGCATATTATCCAGACTTCCCATGGCGTTCTCGAAAGCGAAAGTGACAATGCTGAGGATGTCCAGATAAAGCTTTTTCTCAAACTCGTGCGGAACTAGAGGATGCTTCTACAACAAGCAAGGTATCGATAGTGTGTAGAGACTGGGCTCTTGTCATCGACCTACCGTCAGCTGGCCGCTGGCTAACAGAGCGTCCACATACTCTGAAAGTCGCTCCTGCCGTTGTTGGGATATATGCCGGACGAACTGTATCAACTTCCTCGGGTCGGATTGGCTCCAAGCCTGGCACATAGAGTCGGGAGATCCAAGCAATGATCACGTTGGAAAAACTCGACTGGTGACGGATGAGTTGCAACTCACAGTGCTGGAGCCGGTGCCCGGACTTGATCTTGACGATAGCGTAGTAAGAATCCTATCCTGTATCTGGTAAATGCCATAACACTCGAGGCCGTATCGACTGACGAGTCGACTTGCCTCTCTGTCGCGCTTTGCCTGAGGCCCAAGAATGGCGATGGGGACCTCCATCAAAGTGAGCGACTTGTTGAGGACCTCGATAGAGGACTCGAGGGAACCTGAGCACGCGTAAGCAATGTTATCACGATCACATCAAGTTCGAATTGAATCTCTCACTCTCTGACGTGCTCCTTAGGAACACAGCAGCTGTTTCCAGCAATTTCCGACTGGCCTTCACTTGTTCCCGTATAAGCTCTATGCGTTTCTCACCTGGAAGCCGATTAAGCTCAAACGGTCATGCTAGAGGGCTCACCTAGTTGCTCAAATGCTTGCGGTGAAGAAAGGTACTCTTCAAACCTCTGAAAGCAGCGAAGACCCCAGACCCGATATTCAAAGGGAACATACCTTCTGTATAGAATCTGTAGCATCATGAACAGCTGCATTAGCCTCTTGACCCGCTGCTTGTGCCAATATCTGAAATGCAACAGTGTGATGTGCTCAATCGAGCTTGTTCCACACCAAACAATACCTTGCCGACGAGAAGAGTCTCATTCATCACAGAGCCAACACCCTCCAAAGTTGAAGATATGAGCTTCTCAACTCGCTGGGCTTCCGATGGTGGTCTCTTAGAATGGCTGAAGTCAACAAGACAGGGTTCGAGCTCTCGAGTCCAGAGGCAGCAGTAGCTGAGGCCGTTCCTGATGATCAATAGAGCTCACTTGTCGCCACGCCCGTGCGTGCTGCTCATCCGTCGATTACCGAAGGATAGAAAACGTGTGAAGGGACGGCGTATCAACATTTATCTCAACGCTGCCACAGCTGAAATGCACGGATCAAAATGAGGGTGGTTTATTTATTCCCTGTGAATATTTCC